TAAATCTTCTTATAAAACACCAATTCCGCTCTTCGTCTCTTCACAAAACAAAAAACAACGAAACAGAGAAAGAAAACGTTTGATTAAGCAGAACAAAGTTTCATAACAATGGAAGAGGAATACGTGAAAGGAGATCAAGTTGAAGTATGCAGCAAAGAAGATGGTTTCTTAGGGTCTTACTTTGGCGCCAAGGTATTAAAGAAACTCCCAATGGATCTTTCTACAAGGTTAAGTACAAGAATCTTATCACGGAGGAAGACGAACCTGAGCCGTTGATCGAAATCATCTCCGCCGATGAACTCCGTCCGATGCCTCCCAAATCTCTCCCCGTGTTGTTTCTCCTCCATGACAAGGTCGATGCTTTCGACAACGACGGTTGGTGGATCGGAAAGATCACCGGTCGGAGAGGGAATTTGTACTCTGTTTACTTTGAGACGACCAACGAGGTTTTAGAGTATCCGCTTTGCCGCCTGAGAAGGCATCTCGATTGGGTTAACGGAGACTGGGTTTCTTCGGCAACAAGGCAACAGTGACGTTGTTAAATTAGGGTTTCCATTATTGTTGTTTCTTTTATATTTCGCGATGTTTCTTGTTGTTCGAATGTTATTGTGCTCTGTTTGTTGTGGGTCTTCTTTCAAATTTTAGGGTTTGGTTTCCAAGAGAAGTTCTTGTTTTGTTTCTTGATTCGGTTTCTGTTTAAGATAGGTAGCGTTATTATGAAGCAACTACAAGGGATAACTGTTTCAATAATGAATTAACAAATCAGATCACTGTTTTAATACTGTTTTGTTTATGCAAGAATTATACTCCATTGATTATCAAACTTTAATCAATCGTTGTTCATATTCGAGAGAATAATTGCGTATGTTGTTTCGTACTTGAAAAAAAGAGAGGCAAAAAAAAAACTCCTGAAATAATTTATATTTGTAATCCTAGCTCGAGCTTCGAACCACGGACCTCAAAACCGCTTCAACATGTAAATCTGGTCGGCTAATATGGACAAGATCCGTTCGTATCGCTCGGTGTGCACGAAGTGTTATTCGTCAATGCTTTCCTCTCAAGTTTACATTCAATTGATTCCAAAGGTCAACTCTGCTCTCTCATCTTTCACATTTACAACCAATCAAGGTCAACGATCATTTTTCATTTTCTTTAATATATTGTAGTGATCTAAAATATTTTTCTCCATAAAAAAAAAGGGCCCAAA